GAGCTGCTTTGATTACATCCATTACTGGAGAAACCGTTAGTTCCACCGTTCTCACAGCGCCTCCTGCTGGCAGACAATCAGTTTGCATTTTCAATAAGCCCGTCTCCAGCAACATGTTTTTGTTGTAGCTCTTTTTTTTTGTGCAGCAACTCAGAGCATTTTTCATACTCTTTATACTGACTAAAGCACATTTGTTTCAACCTATAAGAATAATCAGCCTACACTACCATTAAAACGTTTTTGAACAGTAAGCTTTTTAATGTTTTTTTTTTTTTTAAGAATATTTAAAACAGTTGAGTACTTTTTTTTTTCAGGATTCTTTGATTAATAGAAAGATCCAATGATCAGCATTTATCTGAAATAAAAAGCTTTTGTAATATTATACACTATTCCATTCAAAAGCTTGGAGTCAGTATGATTTATTTTTTCTTTCTTTCTTTTTTTTGGGGGGGGGAGAAATTATAGAAATTAATACTTTTATTTAGCAAGGATGCTTTAAATTGATCAAAAGTGATGATAAAGACATTTATAATGTTACAAAAGATTTATATTTCAGATAAATGCTGTTCTTCTGAACTTTCTATTCATCAAAGAACCCTGAAAAAAAATCTACTCAGCTGTTTTCAACATAATACATTATTTTTAAGCAGCAAGTCAGAATATTAGAATGATTTCTGAAGGATCATGTGACTGGAGTAATGAAGCTAAAAAATATAGCTTTGAAATCACAGGAATAAATTGCATTTTAAAATATTTTCAAATAGAAAATAGATATTTTAAATAGCAAAAATATTTCAAAATGTTACTGCTGTATTTTGGATCAAATAAATGCAGGCTTGGTGAGCAGAAGAGAATTCTTTAAAAACATTAAAAATCTTACTGTTCAAAAACTTTTGACTGGTAGTGTATGTTAGCCTATAGTATGTTAAAGATATTAATAATTAATAAGGTGAGTCTGAGACGATTATTTGACAGTGATTTCACATTTCTTGTTTGTATGAAGGCTAAATACAAATAAAAGTTGAACATTAATTTATTTGTGCTGGGTTTTTTTTCTAAAATATTATATGGTTTTATATGAAGTGTCATAGACTTGCCAAGTTCATTTTTCATAAGTTTGTTAGACAGACATCTGTTGTGGGCGTTCTTGGCAGTTATTACGAGGCTTTTTTTAATAGTGTTCATATCGATATCGGCATTATATCGTATCGAACGAAATTAAGAAATGTATCGTGATATACATTTTGGCCATATCATCCAGCCCTAACCAAAGGTTTGAGGAATTTGCTCACATTTTAAAGAAATTATTTGAATCAAGTGAGTTCATTGACAGGATTCATCTAATAGTTAAAAGCATAAGTTAAAAGCTTTACACATAGTATTGAAATCCATTTTGGTTGATCCAAACTTACAAGTGAGCAGCACTAAATACAGGGGTAAACATGGTCCAAAACAAGCTTAGGTTTCACAGATATCCATACAGTAGGTAGTTCATTCTAAGGTACTCCTTTGCTCATTTGAAATTCTGAAAAGTAAATCTTTTTCAAACTGTACTTGCTTAATTTATGACAACACATCACAAATCCTAAAATAAAAATATAAGTGTGGATGTCATCATTCATTCTTCAAGAGAATTTTGTTATAATGTGTGATTAGGGGAATTTGAAATGTACATTGAATGCATTCTTGCATTCAAACACAGCTAAATCAAATTAATCGAATGGAACATAGCACAAATGTTGTGAGAAGTGTTTTTAAAATACTATAATTTGACAGTATGTAGTATGCTGTCAGCGTGATAAAGAAAGCACCTCTGATACCAAATATGAAAAAAATAGATTTTTAAATGAGTAAATTTGTGTGGTTGTTGGAGCCTCAGTTAATTGTTGTAAAAATAAATTGTACACCTAATGAATTAAAAATAAAGTACAGTAGACGTTTCTTGATTTTACTATACATTTATTTCAAAAGGGAAGTTAAAAAGTCTGAACAGTGGATTTTTTAATAAAATAAGATAAATGGTGGGATAAGATAAATAAAATACAATTAAAGTAAAAAGGTATTATATTGTGATCTTTAAAATCTAAAGAAAATAATTTTTCAAGCATTTTTGCTTTTAAAATTGTCATAAAAGAGAGAAAAGTACCTCCAATTTGAAGAAGAATTTTTGAAGGTATGTTAGTCCTCACATTTCTGGATTTTTGTTTCTCCTCTAGACTACCTGAAGGAACAGTTGGATGTTTATATGTCTCAGTTCCCTAAAGTACGAATCATCCGTCTGAAAGAGAGACAAGGCCTAATCAGAGCCAGGATAGCAGGGGCCTCTGCTGCTACAGGTACTGTACACTCACTTTCAATTCAGTTCAGTTTAGTGGCAAAGCTTCAGTTCATAGATCTGTGCTTAATCTGTTTGGAATACATAGCATAGACATTTCTGTTATTTCTATTATAAACAGTGTTTGGCCTTATTGGTTGTTTTAGCTGATGTTGTTTTATCTGCAGGTGAAGTGTTGACATTCCTGGATTCTCACGTTGAGTGTAATGTGGGGTGGCTGGAGCCACTGTTAGAAAGAATTTACCTGGACCGCAAAAAAGTGGTCTGTCCTGTTATTGAGGTCATCAGTGATAAGGACATGAGGTAATGAAGTATATTCAGTCATGCATTTAAATAAATATTATGCTCCCCATTTTGTACAAGGCACAAAGTATACTATGGTGCTACATTACCGTAGCACATATCCATGTCCCTATGAGACTCAATATCCCTTCCAATGTATCATTCCTCCACTGCACTGAACTGTTAAAATTCATGCACTACAATGTATTCATTTATTTTTTTGTCTACGCAGTTACATGCTTGTTGATAACTTCCAAAGAGGCATTTTCAGATGGCCGCTGGTGTTTGGCTGGAGTGCGCTACCTCAGGAATATATTAGAAAGAACCAGGTCAAGGATTCAGACCCCATCAGGTTAACATCAACGAAATGGCACACACAATATATATTCATTGCAAGTTGGCCTATCAGATTTGCTGTCTCTTGTAATTTTATGTATAATATTAAGGACATCTTTCAAATTTGTACCATAATGATGAGGTTTGTGATCGCAGTGACTCAGACACCAAAATTATGTTTATTTATTTGTTAAGATTTGTTCTTTGATTAGTTTAGTTGTACTTTTTACAGGTAACAAAGACAACAAGTGTTTTATATTTTAGAGGGTTTTACTGAATCACCCGATTCATTACAAACACAGTCATTCACAAGTTGTATTATCTTCCATTAAAATCTGTATGTCAACAGAAAGAGTTGTTAAACATTAAGTTTCCCCACAAATGACAGCAAATCAGATTATTATTTCTCCTTGATTTTGTCAACTGAGCTCGACTTTTATTAAGCTAAAAGAAAAACAACAAATCATTAGGGGTCCAAGCACCAGTCTTCACTCAATTCTGGACACAGCAGCTAGGGATGGTGCTGGCAATAAGTTTTTCCAATTTTATTTGGATAAGCAAACAAATGTCGCCATCAGCAGCCAATCAAAACTGAGCACCTTATAACATTATATCTGAATGGCGGACCATCGCGAAATTTGGCAGGTTAAAGGAAAAATGCTGAAAATTTACAGGCAATGCATAATGTCTTGTTCTTCATCAGAACAAATTAAAGCATTGCATCACTTGTTCACTAATGTATCCTCTCCAGTAAATGGGTGCCGTCAGTCCAAACAGCTGATAAAAGCATCATAATAATCCACAAGTAATTGGCATGACTCCAGTCCATCAATTGACATCTAGTGAAGTGAAAAGATGTGGGTTGTGATAAACAAATAAATCAAGATGTTTTTAACTTCAAACCCTTGCATTGCATCAGGCTAAAATACGAGTACTCTATTCGTAATTCATAATTTAAAATATCTATGTTTTTTTACAAACACACTGCTTTTCACTTCACAAGACATTAATTGATGGACTGGAGTCGTGTCGATTACTTGTGGATTATTGTGATGTTTTTATCAGCTATTTGAACTCTCATTCTGACGGCACCCATTCACTGCAGAGGATCCATTGGTGAGCAAGGGATATAATGCTAAATTTCTCCAAATCTGTTCCGATGAAGAATCAAACTCATCTACATCTTAGATGGCCTGTCAATTTTTAGCAAATTTTCATTTTTGGGTGAATTATTGCTTTAATGTGTTTATTAAATTTGGTGAGAATCGACCACGAGGTTATTCCGTATGTGTGTTTTTGCTAATAACTCTGGAACTATAATGGTTAAAATCAAAATTAATCTCTCTTCCAATTCCTTCAGTGCCTCTGAATCAGTTATTCATGCATTTATTTATTTATGTGTGAAGTTTTCCACCATTTTGAGTTATTTGAAAAAATAATTTTTCAAACAAAATTGAGTATTCACCATCTTGAGATGCCCCTGACAATCAAAACAATGTTGATAATTTGGTAACACTTTATAAAAAGGTTAATTAGTTAATGATAATTAATACATTAACTAATATTAACTAACAATGAGCAATACATTTGTTACAGTATTTATTAATCTTTGTTAACATTAATTAAAAGTACAACTGTTCATTGTTAGTTCATGTTAGATCAGATCCAATAATTAATATGCACAGATAAAACTTTGGATTTTAATAATGTATTAGTAAAGATTAATAAAATAAATGTATTAGAGATTAATAAATGCTTTGCAAGTATTTTTCATTGTGAGTTAATGTTAACTGATGTAGTTAATTAATGTTAACAAATGGAAACTTATTATAAAATGTTACTGATGTTGCAGACATATAGGCCAATATATTTGTGTCGCCACAAATCTTGTGAATCGCGTTATGTTGTGAATGCAGTGTCCAAAGTTCACAAAGCTTACACATGGACAACTGTTGAGGACATCTGTTAAATTTCATGAATTTGCTCAGAGGGTAACAGCAGTTTCTAAAATATCAACCATTTTATATCAATAGGAATGACAGAGATGAAGGCCGTAATACTAACATTGTCCACCGGAGAGAGACACAGGAAAATAAATATTTTTAGTTCTCATAGATTAAAATGTGTAAATTGTTCAATAGGTTCACTATATGATATATTCATGTTACTTTAATATAGTTTGATAGTTTAATATAGTCAATTTACCAAAAAAAACGAAAAAAAAAAACAATAGGGGTCTTCAGAAAGCTTACAGTGAAACAAACAAACAAACAAAAAAAGTACTGTGAACAACTGATTCTTATAACAAACCAGGGCCGTAACCACCATAGACATTGACATTGATCACAATAATTAGAAATGGCCAAATTGTCTCCCCCAGTATTTGAAATATTTGCACTGATATGCTGCACTCCATTATGCAGCGTTCTGTTTGTTGTTAGGATGACAAAAGGTTTAAAAGTTCAATTTTTAGCCTGGTCTGCCCCAGTGTTCAAGACATGGAACAAACATGAATGGAACATCATTATTGTGTGACTGTATAATTGGTATTCATGTTTAAGCATGTTTAATGCACACTAACAAATTAACTATCGAAAATACTATATATAGTAGTTTCAGTATAATGTTAGTTCTAATTATAGGTTATACTGCATTTATGTTGTAAATATGTAAAAAAATAATAATAATAATAAAAAAAATACAAATCTAAATTAGTACAAATCTAAATCTAAAACTTGCCCCTTTTAGACTTGCACTCTATTTATTTACTAACTGCTTGTTTTATTAAAAAAAAAAAAAAACCTAACACTTGCTTCTCTAATCTTTTTGTATTCTATCTATTTTCTTTTTATTTATTATATGATTTAAAAAAAAAAAACTTGCTACGTGTACTGCATTAAGCTAACTGAGACTTGGTATAGCACTTGTATATCATTGCTCTTTTGTTGATTTTGATTGCTTCCATTGTCCTAATTTGTAAGTCGCTTTGGATAAAAGCGTCTGCTAAATGTCTAAAGTTAAAGGTGACAGTGTGTTGTTGTTTTTCTTTTCTTGCACAGGTGTCCTGTTATGGCAGGGGGTCTTTTCTCTATGGACAAGAGCTATTTCTATGAGCTGGGGGCATATGACCCAGGCCTGGATGTCTGGGGTGGGGAAAACATGGAAATCTCTTTCAAGGTAAATAAGCCAAATGTTCAGACATTTTAACTTTTAATATACACGCAGTGTTAGGATGGAATGTGAGAGTTAATGAGTCAAAAGCAGACCACTTTTAAGCTTCCCTTCAGTAAATCAAGCTTACATGCATTTTGAGCATTACATACATAGGCACCATTACATACAACATAATAATGTCTCAGCTTTTTGTTAGTTTATGGACCTTAAATAAAAAAAATACATTTGATATGAGTCTGAAATAATTGTTCCCCAATGGCAGCAGGTAATGTGTTATTTGTGCTGTAGATCTGGATGTGTGGTGGCGAGATTGAAATCATCCCCTGTTCACGTGTCGGCCACATCTTCCGTGGTGATAACCCTTACAAGTTCCCCAAAAACCGTGTGAAGACAGTCGAAAGAAACTTGGCCAGGGTTGCAGAGGTGTGGCTGGATGTCTATAAAGAGCTGTTTTATGGCCATGGTTACCACCACCTGCTGGACAAAAGTGTGACTGAGATCGGAAATCTGACAGATCAGATTGAGCTGAGAAAAAAACTTGAGTGTAAAAGCTTTAAATGGTACTTGGAGAATGTCTACCCAGATCTGGATGCCCCTCTGGTAAAAGCAGAAGGACTGGTAGGAAGAAAAAAAAACTTTATACCACTATCACTCCAAAAAGATAATTTATTCACTGAATACACCTAATTCTCCTATGTTACTAATCTTACAAACATAACCTCATTCATAAACAAACCTCATTCTTAATTGAGGTATTATCATGAGGTATCTTTCTGGGTAGGTGTGTGTACACATGTGTATGCATATGTGTGGGCATACATATATATTGTATTATTATAATTTTTTTTTTTTTTTATGTGATATATGAATGTATAGTATTATTTGTTAGGATGTATTTTCTATGCCAGTGTCAAAGATTAATTTCTGTTCAGGAAATCTGGACAGACAATAAAGTTAAACTAAACTAAACTAAAGTGTATTTTTTTTTTTTTTTCTTCAGATTTTCAATGTTGGAACCAGAAAATGTTTGGTATTTCACAATGACGTTTTATTATTTGATAAATGTGATCACACAAATAAGGTAAATCCAAATCATATGTTTTATTCATGTGGATATTCAATTTTGCTGTATAATCTTTCATTTTAAAAACACTGCATCATAAAAACTGTTTCTGTTTTCTCATGCCTCGCAGAGTCAGCACTTCAGCTACACCTGGTTAAGGATGCTTCGACAGAACACTTCCTGTTTCGCTCCTCAGGATAAACAGATTATCATGGAACCATGTGACAGCACTAAGCCACATCTCCGCTGGATGCACAAGTCTAAAGGTTTGGTAAGTACAGCGCAAAATCTATTCTCTAGGGATAGTACCATTGATAGGTTCATTAATAAATGGTGTGAATGGTGGAAATATTAAATATTATCCCAATATACTAATTGTTACAAATGTTTTAACAGAAATTGGATCACTTGCTTCTCCCATGGTTAATGTTAAGCCTAATATAAATAAAGGACACTGAACTGACACTTCAGCCCATACATAAACTGTTCTTTGCTTTTAGAACATTTTATGTGAATTTCATTATTGTTGAAGAATTGTTTTTGTCAAAAGCTGTTTCGTTTTAACAATATATGTAGGCAGTAAGGTATGTGTGGTTGTGCATAAGGTGGCAAGAATACGTTTGTGAGCCTTTTAAAAATATCTGGATTTCACTCATGACAAATCATGACTCATTGGTTTCTTCTTTTAAAAAAAATTAAAAATGTATTATTATAATGTTAAATTTAAACTAAAATTTTTAATTTGTCCACGATTAATTGTGCAGCCCTACTTGATAGCACAGCCCTATTTATGTTATGCCACAGCATAATTCAGCCACTCTTTATTTGGTATTACTTGTGTGATTTGGGTCCTTGTCGTGTTGCATCACCCAGCCTCTCTGAAGCTCATTAACTCCTGACATTCTCCTGTAAAATGTCTTGGTACACCTTATAAGAAGGAGGTTCTAAGACGATCAGATACTGTAGTTCCGACCATAAACAATGCTGACCCACTAGGCATCATGTCAAGTTGAGTCACCTTTATTTATATTCAATTCAATTAAAATGTATTTGTATAGTGCTTTTCACAATACACATTGTTTCAAAGCAGCTTTACAGAAAATTCATGTATCAAAGCAGAAGTGAATGTTTATTTCACAAATTAACAGTTCAAGATAATGGAATCATACAGCTAGCTAACATTTTAGGCAGAAGCTAATTGAAGCGATTATTACATGTGTGATTATAATTATTACAATATAGAGAAATTTTGGCAGCTGTGCATGTCGATTCAAGTTGGCGTTGTCTGGGGTCCTCGCAGGGGTCAGCATCATCTCTTCAAAGGTGTTGGGTCATCTGAAGTCTTTCTATGAGGCTGGATTCGCGCATAATCTCTAGTTACCTCGAGATGTGCATCCCGAGGTAGAAACAGAAAAGAATTAGCGTAGCTGCTGTTCATAACGTTTCAAGCAAAAAATATGTTTGTGACTTTTATCTGATCTAACTGGGAACAAGGGTGAGATTGAGATTCATTATGCGAATGCTTGGCTGAAGAGATGTCTTTAATCTAGATTTAAACAGAGAAAGTGTGTTTGAGCCCTGGACATTATCAGGAAGACTATACCAGAGTTTAGGAGCCAGATGGGAAAATGATCTCCCTCCTTTAGTGGACTTAGATATCCTAGGTGCTACTAAAAGTCCAGAGTTTTGTGACCTTAGAGAGCGTGATGGATTGTAGGGCATAAGAATATCAGTTAAACATACAGGAGCTAAACCATTTAGTGCCTTATAGGTCAGTAGCAATATTTTGAAATCAATACGGAACTTAATAGGTAACCAGTGTAGCGATGATAAAATTGGGGGTAATAGGATCATATTTTTTGACCTGGTAAGAACTCTAGCAGCTGCATTTTGGACTAACTGTAGCTTGTTTATTGATGATGCTGGGCAACCAGCTAGTACATTACAGTAATCTAGTCGAGAGGTCATGAATGTATGAACTAGCTTTTCTGCATCAGAAACAGATAACACGTTCCGTAGCTTAGCAATGTTTCTGAGGTGGAAGAAGGCTGTTTTTAATCTCCAGCCACAGCAGCCAATCAGCACTCTGAATTAACACATATATGTCACTTTTCATGACGTTGGTTCAACTTCGTTTTTGGTCCAATAAGTAATACCTCAGTCTTGTCTGAATTTATTAGAAGAAAATTACTGGTCATCCATTGTTTTATATCTTTAACACGTTCTGTCAATGTGGATAGTTTAGAAATTTCATCTGGTCGTGATGAAATATATAACTGAGTATCATCGGCATAGCAGTGGAAACTAATTCCATGTTTTCTAATAATGTTGCCAAAAGGCAGCATGTATATTGAAAATAACAGAGGGCCTAACACAGATCCTTGCAGCTCCCCATAATTTACTGATGTTAACTTGGATTTTTCACCATTTTAAGTAGACAAAATGGTAACGTCAGCTCAGTACGATCTAAACCACCGTAATGCCTGTCCCTGAATACCAGTGTAATTTTGTAGTCGGCCTAAGAGTATGTCGTGGTCTATCTTGTCGAAAGCAGCACTAAGATCAAGTAAAACTAGTATTGAGACACATCCTTGGTCAGAAGCTAGAAGTAAGTTATTTGTAATTTTAACAAGCACAGTTTCTGTGCTATGATGAGGCCTGAATCCTGACTGAAATTTTTCATAGATATCATTTTTTTTTGCAGGAAGGAGTACAATTGAGTGGACACAACTTTTTCTAATATTTTAGACAAACGGAAGACTTGAAATGGGTCTGTAATTTGCCAATTCATTTGGATCAAGTTGCAGAGAGGCTTAATAACTGCCGTCTTAAATGGTTTTGGAACATAACCTAGAGATAGAGATGAATTAATAATATTGAGAAGAGGCTCTTCTGCTTTAGGTAACAACTCTTTCGATAGTTTAGTGTGGGATCTAGTAAACATGTTGTTGGTTTAGATGCAATGATTAGTATATTTATGTTCGTCCATTTTGATTGGACGAACATTTCTTGGTCCTACGCCTTCCACAGAATATATAAATACAGATAAATACATTTAGACCACTTAACTTAATGATTGCTATGGAGATGTGAAGAGACTTTCAACCAGCATAACAAAAAATGTTTCTGAAGACAATCACCTATTGCACCTTTAAGGAAGGGATTTTATATCACTATTCAAGATAGCCCGTCGGGCAGGGCAGTGATACATTTTGATAGCCCGACTGGAAAACACAATAGCCCCGGGACGTCGGGCTAGCGATTTTGCGAGCCCTGATTCTGGAGGTGTAGACTCATTTACACCAAAATAATCATTAGATTTAATCTTAGAGTATATCAAAACCATTATGTGTGATCATTTTGTTTACAATAACCGCCTTAGCTGTGAGTGATCTAATGTTTAGGAGTCCAAGCTTTAGAAATCATTTTTGTTAATTTATTCATTTCAGACAGTATAATTGTGGGTAAAGAGCCTGGTTGTTAGTCACGTTTAATGTCGACTTTTAACTTCACGGGACAATTGCAAAAGTTTGCACACGCAAAAACCCATTCAGCATGCCCATGTTAACTTCAAATAAGCGTATTAACGTTACTGCGGTTTACATTACACGTTTCGTCGTAGTAAGCATTGGCATATAAAGAGAGAGACCGCGCAATCTCTTCATATCTTTTAACATCACGGAAACACAAAAATATACAACACGCCAAAATTAAACCTAAAATTCATTATAGTACACAGCTTTTGACATTAAGTGTTTTATGGATTAAACAAGAAGAAAGACCATGTTCCCTTCACTTAAACAGCTAATTTCCCTCAGACATATTCATACAACGCTTATTCGATGTTTTTATGTATGTTGTACGTTTGTGTATAAATACATACATTTTAAATAATACGTTTACACCTTTTTTTAAATATACAAGTATTGATAAATTCAGTCTAAGTACAAATTCAGTTACACTTAACATACCTGACACGTGAACTTGACATATATTTAACATAGCCTAAATATTCATTTTACTTCGGACACACGACTTATAAAACACTTCTAAATATCCACTCAAAACATTGGATATGCTGTATGTTTTTGTCGATAAATGTAGTCAAAAAAATAACATTTATTTAGTTGCACTTACCTGACTCGTGAACTTGACAAGATGGCGCTGTTTCTCCCGTGAAGTCACTCAGGCTCGTGCACGTGCAGAAAGATCTCAGTGTTGGCTGGATTAGTTTTTATTAGTTTAGTCAACATTAGCATAGCTAATTGTTGACTGGAATTGAAAATAACCATTCGTTCAATGTTTTTCAAATATATTTGTTTAGACTTAATATAATATGTCCTCTCAACTAAGCCCAAGCATTAAAATTAGCTCAACTTAAATAGTTTTGCCCTTCCAACATTTTGTTAATTGGATTTTTTACAGTGCAGTAGTTCTGAGAGAAAATCTGCTAAATCTTTTAGAAAATCAACATAGGGCCCTGGAGGTCTATACACGTTAGCCAAAATGAAAGATAGCAGGGATTTTTTTTCTTCTATCTGTAAGCATAATATTTAGCACAAGCACTTCAAATGAGTTAAACCTGTGTCCTGTTTTCTGAGTAACATTAAGAATATCTCTATATATTGTTGCGACACCGCCGCCACGACCAATGAGACGGGGCTCATGCTTATAACAGTAGCCTGGAGGAGTAGACTCATTTAGACCAAAATAATTATTAGGTTTAAGCCAAGTTTCAGTAAGGCAGAGTACATCAAAACTATTATCTGTGATCATTTTGTTTACAATAACCGCCTTAGCTGTGAGTGATCTAATGTTTAGGAGTCCAAGCTTTAGAAATAATTTTTGTTAATTTATTAATTTCAGACAGTATAATTGTGGGTACCTGCGCAGCAACATCGAGAACACGAGCACCAGGAAAACAATTATATAGCGCTTTATGCAATACTGATTGTGTCAAAGCAGATTTACAGTGTCAAACAGGAAAACAAACAGGTCAGGTCTGCCCCAAAAACTCATCCAAATTGTCTGTGAAACCTATGTTATTCTGCGGGCACCACTTAGACATCCAGCCATTGAGTGATGACAGTCTGCTATGTATCTCATCACCACGGTAAGCAGGGAGGGGACCAGAGCATATTACAGTGTCTGACATCGAACTTGCAAGTTCACACACCTCTTTAATGTTATTTTTAGTGATCATTAGTGCTGACGTGAATAACATGTAGGAACCATTAGTCTTTGGGTTTCAAATGGAGTATGGTTGCAAAGATTAAATTTAAAGGAATTGACGGAAAGGCACCAGGAGTGGAGCCTGCATCTTAATTTGACTCAACACTGGAAACCTCACCCAGTCTGGACACGGAAAGGACTGACAGATTGATAGCTCTTTCTTGATTCTGTGGGTGGTGGTGCATGGCCATAACCCATTGGGGGATTGGTGTGGTAGCTTCAGCTTTCCCTGCATCTCCCTGCTAGGCCCGCCACATAAGTGACCCTCGTGCAGCAAAGCAGTGTGAAACCATGATACTCCGTCCAACATTCTTCACAGTTGGGAAGAGGTTTTGGAGTTGCGGGGTTGAGGCACTTTTTCCTCTAAACAAATCATTGTGCATTTTTTACAAAAAGTTTAACTTTTGTCTAAGCTGCCCACGGGACATTTTCCCAGAAGTGTTGTGGAATGTCCATGTGGTCTTGGGCAAACATGTGAGACCATGCCTCTATATATATACACTACCACTCAAAAGTTTGGGATCAGTAAGACTTGTAATGTTTTTTAAAGAAGTCTCTTCTGCTCATCAAGGCTGCATTTATTTGATCAAAAATACAGAAAAAAAAAAGAAATCTTGCAAAATGTTATTACAATATAAAATAATGGTTTCTATTTTAATATACTTTATAATATAATTTATTTATGTGCTGCAAAGCTGAATTTCCATCAGCCATTACTCCAGTCTTTAGTGTCACATGATCCTTAAGAAATCATTATAATATGCTGATTTATTATCAGTGTTGGAAACTGTTGTGCTGCTTAATATTTTTTTGGAACCTGTGATACTTTTTTCAGGATTCTTTGATGAATAAAAAGTTAAAAAGAAGAGCATTTATTTAAAATTTTTATATTTTCTAACAATATACACAACAGTTAAAAAGTTTGGGGTCAGTAAACTTTTATTCTTTCTTTTTTGAAAGAAATTAAAAAATCTTATTCAGCAAGGATGTGTTAAATTGTTAAGAAGTGATAGCAAAGATTTATATAGTTAGAAAATATTTATATTTTTAATAAATGCTGTTCTTTTTAACTTTTTATTCATCGAAGAATCCTGAAAAAGTATCGCAGTTTCCAAAAAAAAATATTTGGCAGCACAACTGTTGCCAACATTGATAATTCTAATAATAAATCAGCATATTAGAATGATTTCTGAAGGATCATGTTTATATTTTTAATAAATGCTGTTCTTTTTAACTTTTTATTCATCGAAGAATCCTGAAAAAGTATCGCAGTTTCCAAAAAAAAATATTTGGCAGCACAACTGTTGCCAACATTGATAATTCTAATAATAAATCAGCATATTAGAATGATTTCTCAAGAATCATGTGACACTTTATACTGGCGTAATGTAATGGCTGATGGAAATTCAGCTTTGCATCACAGAAATAAATTATATTTTAAAGGATATGCAGCCATTTTATTTTACATTGTAATAACATTTTGCAAGATTACTGTTTTTTCTGTATTTTTGATCAAATAAATGCAGCCTTGATGAACAGAAGAGACTTCTTTAAAAAACATTACAAGTCTTACTGATCCCAAACTTTTGAGCGGTAGTGTATATATATATATTTTTTTTTTTTTGGCTTTCTATTTTTTTGTCTTGAACAGCATTCTTCACCGTCTTTCTGATAGTAGACAAATGAAAAAAGTCTTCTGCAAATTGAAGAGTTTTCAGGGGGTCTTTTGCTGTAGCAACAGTCCAGAATTTCTACATTTGTAGACATGGTCTTTTAGTGTGGGATTATTGAGCACCCAGGTCTTTAGCAATGCTTCCCATAGCCTTTCCCATCTTTGTGTATCTCTCTGATGTATTTTAAGCTATTTGGATCAAGGCAAGGTTCACACTAAACCATCTTTAAGAAGACCAGATTTGTCAGTAGCTTTATTTAAAGAGCAGGGCACCTGTGCAGCCCACACTTCCAGTTTCATTAACTGACTTAGCTTGACTTTTGGCTTTTGGAGAAGTCATAACACAGAGTTTCACTTACTTTTTTCCAGCCTGTTCTGTTATCGATCACTTAAAGTCTTGAATATATATATTTTTTTTTTTTTAAATATGTGTTAGTTAATTAATCAGGTTGTTTGTCTTTAATTTTAAAAAAAATTAAATAAAAAATTTTATAAGCAAAAAATGCTGAAATTCAGCACTAAATACAAAAGAAAGAAAAAAACATTTTCAAAGTGTTAAACTTATTCTTGCCATTGTATATAATCATTAGCATGCCCTCAAGTGCCTTTTTACCCGTTATGAAATAACTCAAAAATATTAATGACATTTTTTATGAAAGGGGTGGTTCATTGCGATTTCACTTTTTTAACGTTAGTTAGTGTGTAATGTTGCTGTTTGACCATAAACAATATCTGCAAAGTTACGAAGCTGAAAGTTCAATGCAAACGGAGATATCGTCTTTTAAAATTCTTGCAGTTTAATGCCTACAAAAACGGCTGGTAGGGACTACAAGAAGTTACTTCCCGGGTTCGTGACATCACAAACCCAGATAAAACCCACCCCCCCGGAAAAGGCAGCAAAGGGGGCGAGGCCACGCTGCGCTGCTTTAGAGAAGAGGAAGAGAAAACTAGAGGTGCACGTAAAAATCTGTTCATATATGAATCTCGATTCTGTCTTCTAACGATTCTAATGGATTCACAGGTTTCAAAATCAATGTTCAAAAGCAGCGGTTCTCAAT